AATCTGAATGAATTTCGACCCATTCTTCTGTTGATGAAGAACCCAATTTAATCAATTTATAGAGTCAACAAGGAGACCACCCCTCATGTCTGTTTTGTACAATTTGCCTTTGTTTGTTTTAGGAGAGTTCAGTCACTATTGTGAACAAGAAAGTAAAGCCTTGTATCCTTCTTCTTCTTATAGGTAACAGCACTTAACTAATGCTCAGGGGAAGAGCTGGTAGTGCTTCTTGTTGCTAAGCGACAATAGCAAACTCATTTGAGGCGAGGCAATCTTTTACTAAAAGTTTAAATATTTATAACTTTTAACATTTTGCACAATGACTGCTAAACACACGCTAAGCTCCCAGCTCCATGTGCACCAAAAGAGGGTCCTAGTGGAAACACAACCCAGGTCTTAATCCATATTTCCAACAAATCCATAGCTATGGCTGCAGGTCTAACTCCTGAAGAAGCAGCTGTAAGAGTTTACGCTCACTCACTGATTCCTGAACACAGAGGAAATAAATATATATATATATATTCTAAAATATTTCATAAATTTTTTTTACAGGGGAAACAGACAGAGACGATAGTGAGGGAGATGGGAGAGATACATGTGACGAAAAAATTCCTCCATCCGGGACCTAAATGCATCTGAATAGAAAAAACCATCACTGTAAATAAAAGATCAGTGAAGCACTTCAAATCTTTCTCTTTTTAATTTGATGATGATGTGTAGGATTTTTCCCTCTTGAATAACATGTTGGTAAAGACAACAAACTAGAACTATATAAAATCCCCTCGTGTTTATTTACCCTTTCCTCGCCTCCATCCTAGCCATCTCAACTCTCTGTCTTTAGCCCCCCCCGTCTGTCTGTCTGTGTCTCTTTCTGCTTCAGGGGAAATTAATTGATGATTATCTTGTCTTGCAGAGCTGGTTTGCAAACTTGCTTTTTTATCAGCAAGGCCTTGCTTTCCACCACTTATAGCTTCATTTGACCCACCCTCCCTCTCTCTGTCTCTCTCTCCACCCATCCCTCTCTCAGGCGACTGGGGTCTTATCAGTTAGCTATGTGTTCAGACTTATAGTTCAATTTGGTTTCCTTTAATAAAAGGATAGAACAGAGAATATATTTGTTAACAGAGATGGGCTGACAGACAGACAGGGGAGACAGGTTGTTCAGGCCAATAAAAAGACAGGGCCGAATAGATTCTTTGTTAGTGTGAATTAGTTTAAATGAACAGAAGCAGAGAAAGAGAGGGGAGGGGAGAGGTTGACAAGGAGTAGGTGTGAAACAGAGAGAGTGGGTAGTAGATGAGGGAAAAAAGATGCTGAAATTATTTTGAAATAATATTTTCTTCATTATGAAACAGTGGTTTGTCTCAATCAGCTCGTGTAGAGTTCAGTTTAGTGATTTATTTAGCAATTTCTTTCTTCTTTTTAGGATTCCATAAGGAAAGACACAACATTAAATACAGCCACAGCAAAACATCAACAGTAAGCTAGGAAGAGGAAAAGGTTTTGGATTATGGGTATGGTAAAACAAAAGAAGAAAAATCATTATCAAAAACAAAACAGATTACTTAAAGGAAACTTCAAAGTTCACAGTCACGTATGACTGAATCCAAATGTCCACCTTATCTGTGGACTTTGGTCATATACCATGATGTGTTCACTTTTATCTTGTCAAGTCCGCGAGGGTGTTGAACCGCAATGGGATAAAAATGTACTATGAGATGGGACTTCATATCTCAAATGGTTTTGAATTCAAGTTCTTGACCCTGCAATTTATCAATACCCAAGTAATTTCATGATCAGTTCTTAACAGTATTCATTTTAGCAATTCATGCAAGATTTGTGCAGGGTCTCCTGCTTTACATAGTCTAACAGGAATAGAGGTTAAAGGATAAATAAAAGAGCATGAAGGTTGATATGCACAGTGAAACTTTCCCTCTACTGAATATGAACACTTAAAATTCTATTCACATCAAACGTTCAACTCAGGATCCACACATCGTAGGTGGTCCCACTATCTTGCTTGGATGAAAACAAACTTTTGCCCTTCTAACTCTGCAGATTATAACAAGCATTCAAAATTAGAGTTGAATGTTGGATCTGCTTTTGATCCAGCCAAACTGATCTAAACTACAGTCACAGAGGTGCTTCTCACATTGCTTAAAATTACAGGGTTTTTGTCTGTGTCAGCTTCGGATTGAGCAACTTGAGATGACAGCTGAGAGTTTCTGTTTTACAAGGTTGTATTAGTGGTCTTAATTTGAGTAAACAGCACTTTTCTTTAAAATGTGGTTAAAGTAGCACCAAAATCAATTTTATCTATTTGAGATGCACAAAAGATTAATTTCTGATCTCTCAACGTGTTCAATTACACATGCAATTTCCCTTTCAAAGCACAATAACTTTCTCTAGGTAAATTGAAATGCATGTGTCTAAAGTCTGTCTAATGTCTAAGTCTAAAGATATGGTTTGCAATAATTGTTTGTTTCTCATTTAAGAGACGCAATCCTTTGAACAATTTATCTAGATTAAAATCAAAATGTTCCTTTTTATATAATTGCATTTTGCACATATGCTGCAGGCCGATAGTGTCGACGTTTATCCTCCTCCTGATACCCTGCTGTGAGACTAGCAAATAACTGCATCTTCTAATATCTACATTAAATCAAATCGTGGCAAACATCTATTTTCATTCAGGCTTTTTCTTTCTCTTTCTTTTCGTCATCATTGGGACCAATGTTCACTCTCACATATTTGTCTTGGCTCTCAGTAAACTCCAGTAATGATTACTGCCATAAAGATAAAGTAGACAGCTATCCAGTTAGCTGGAACTTACACATGCACTTGCAAGTTCCAGGACAGATGACTGATCTCATATACACAAAACACCAAAGCATTCAATAAATAATGCTTTGGTTTGATGCATGAATGCTATGTTTTTTACATCCACACACACACACACACACACACACACACACACACACGAGCGTTCACCCCACATATACATACACATTTTACACACAAGCACACAAACACAGACATGAATCAAGTTTTGAAGTGTAGGACATCAATGCAAAACAAAGCAACATAGAAAAAAAGACTGACAGAAAGACCTGTCAGTTATACGTGCACAAGCACACACCACATACACATTCGCATACATGCAGACACACACAAGCACACACACACACACACACACACACACACACAATCACAACCACTCCCTGAGGCAACAAACACACTTAAGGATCCCCATAGATATTGAATAGAACAATGGAAAGAAAAAAATGAAGATAAAGTACTTCCTGAAAAAGGTTTAATGGCTGTCAGGTTTGCTTTCAACATACACAAACACACAAATGACACACATCCAGGAAAACACACACACACACACACACACACACACACACACACACACACACACACACAATACAGTATACACAGACAGAGTAAGATAAAGTTGAAGCACAAACACACGCAGGGGAGTAAGTGTGTATATCTGGTCTCTTGAGTTTGTCTTTGATATTTAGAGTTCATGATTCATAGATGAACTCTTATGCAAGAGTAATGGAACACTGTGTGTGTGTGTGTGTGTGTGTGTGTGTGTGTGTGTGTGTGTGTGTGTGTGTGTGTGTGTGTGTGTGTGTAGGTGTGTGTGTGTGTGTGTGTGTGTGTGTGTGTGTGTGTGTGTGTGTGTGTGTGTGTGCATCTTCAAAAGGTCAGGCTAAGTATTTGTGTCGCATCCAAACATGCACGCAAGCATGGAATAGTCTTGTATACCACGCTCATAACACACACGCAAGACACACAGCAAAATATGCAACCTGGAAGTCACAACAATCAATGATGTGAAGGATACAAGACACATCAATACAAGACTACACACCAATCAGCCATAACATTATGACCACTGACAGGTGAAGTGAATAACACTGATTATCTGGATATCATGGCACCTGTCAGTGGGTGGGATATATTAGGCAGCAAGTGAACATTTTGTCCTCAAGTTAATGTGTTAGAAGCAGAAAAATGGGCAGCGTGAGGGTTTGAGTGACTTTGACAAGGGCCAAATTGGCTAGACGACTGGGTCCTAGCATCTCCAAAACTGCAGCTTTTGTGGGGTGTTCCCGGTCTGCAGTGGTCAGTCCCTTTTGAAAGTGGCCCAAGGAAGGAAAAGCTGGAGACAGGGTCATGGGCAGCCAAGGCTCATTGATGCCCGTGGGGAAAGAAGGCTGGCCCCTGCGGTCCGATCAAACAGACGAGATACTGTGGCTCAAACTGCTTAAAAAAGTGAATGCTGTTTCTGATAGAAAGGTGTCAGAACACACAGTGCATTGCAGTTTGGGGCTACATAATGTTATGGCCACCAGCGTGCCCAGGTGGTCATAATATTATGGCTGATCAGTGTATGTATACATATACAACATATATAGTATGTAGTCCCAGCTGATGGAGGGATGACCGAGACAACAGCTCTGGGCCACACAGAACTATTATAGAAGGGTTGCATGTCTATCACCACTTGTTATAATAATTTCGATCAAAAGAAGAGTTTGCCCCTGATTTCTCTGTCCTATACATTGATACGGACAGTCCAGTAAACACTAACTTCTTTCAAATTTCTGACCCCCCAAAAAATCTGATTCATATAAATACAACTGCAATTGCGAAACAGTGCCATGAACTCCAGCTATGGCATCAAACTCGCTCCTACTGATGCAGTCATCCTGTAATTTGGAGACATTCTAATAAACTAAATATTTATGAATACAGTGCTTGTTGTAAATATTCTGTGCTTATTAATAATAATCAAAATCAACAATCTCCAGAGTTATCTTTATTGTATGTAGTATACTGTGGTACTTGTTTCTTACAGCTCTTACAACATTTTCCAACACGGTTCAGTCACTTTGCAGGTAAAATCTGTCATCACTATTGCCTCAGAAATTGTCTGTGTATCATGGCAAGCATTCATCACTGTGCACACTCACACATTGTCTTACCTTCATATACAGCTTTAAAGCCCTGTGCACTGACGGCAAAGTCTGTGGTAAACCACAAGGCCAATATAGATCCACTGCTGACTATAGGGGAGGGCAGCATGAATCCTGACAACCTGAAAAACAGAAATACATCTCTGAAACACAGCAAGACAGTTTACTGCTGACTTATAAAAGCAAACAATATGGCAACGTCAAATCTGAAAACCTGAAACATAGAAAAATAAATAAATATGTGAACAATTGTGTTCAGTGTTAGTCCTGTTGATGTTGTGGTTAACCCCCTGAAAGTCCTGAACCCATAAAGACACCTGCTGGCCTGAGATCAGTTCTCTCCAAGCTACTCTCAGGTTTCCTGCTGTCCTCTTCATTGAGGAAAAGGAGACTAAAGAGTGATTTTCCCTCTCTCTCAAAATAAATTATATGAATTTAATATATCACTGAGCTACAGTGCACAACCAACCATGTTGTGCACCCAGACTTAAATACAGAACAAAAACAGAAAATAAAAACATATCGTAATTTAAGAATTTACACTAGAATAGTTAAGCTAACCATGATGAGGTGTTGTTTGACTGTGATACAACAAGGTGAGAGCTCGATTACACTGGAAGTCGTGCTGAAACAGTCCTTTGAGACTTAATTGATGGTTAAACGATTTGGGGAGGAGAATAGGGAGGATTCTGAAGGAAGAAAATAACAGGAAATGGAAAGCACTAATAGTCTATTGACTTGCCTAAATTATGTAGATGAAAACTGTTTATATAATTAAGAAATATTTATACAGTGGATAAACTAATAATTTCAATGTGAGCTAAAGAACTGAACTTTCTGCACTTTTAATAGTGACATATAGATGCAGTAGACAAAGACAGGGCTTAAGTTAGGCATCTATAGCTTTGTTAAGACTAACTATTATACAAACTGTATCATTTATACCATGACACTGTGCCAAAAACTAAATCTGAAGTTTCCACTGCAAAAATAAAACCTAAAACCAACCCAACCCAACCCAAATCTAACATGCATTTTTCAAGTGCTTAAATGAACAACGACAACAGTGAAGTGCATTTACTTAGGCTGTGCCCTGTTTCCTTCTCTTTTGCAATTTTCATGGACAGCATCTCAAGGTGCAGCCAAAAAGTGGAGTGTGTCCAGTTTGATGACCTCGGGACTGCATTTGTGCCATTTACAGATGATGCAGTTCTGTTTGTTGATTCAGACCATGACATTCAGCACTCACTGGTCTGGTTTGCAGCCAAGGGTAAATGATTAAGATGAGGATAAACACCTCCAAGCCTGTTGCTGCCCCAGATGATGCACTTCAAGTGTATTAGGGTCTTGACAGCGAAGCTCTCAATTTTACAGTATATGTAGCTCTCAATCCTTACCGGAGTTCCTGCTGAGTTCTGAGTTCAATCAGAGGCTAAGCTGAATAAAAACACACAGACACACTGCTATACACATTGGTGTGTCCGTTGCCAGCTAGCTTATGGCTAACTTCTGTATAGTTGGTACATTGGGGGCTGGGGGCAAAAAACCATGGAAGCCAAGCAAAAATTCACTTTGCAGGTAAACTCGTTTAGACACAGTTTAGATAAAGATGCTGCTTAAGTTAATTATCTTTAATTCCACAAGCGCTCAATATCACATAGCAAAAGCTGAATCTAAAGTCAGGCAGCAGCAACAGCGTTACTAAATATAAGTATTTGCTTGTGGAAAACAGAATTAGCAAGTTTTAAAAGTGATCTTTTTTCAAATGCATGAATAAACAATAACAGGTCATGTTTGATAGTTTCATGAGCAGTCTTTCCAGGTGCAGCAAAAAAGTGACAATTTGTATTACTGTATGTGAATTAGCACAGCCAATGTTGCACTGAGGCCATGTTGCACTGCTTGATATGGCAGCTTGCCCCCTCTTGGTTTGGAGCAAGTTGGGGCCTAAAATAAAGGTTAAATGCTTGTGTTTCCAGGAGAGCTATTTCTCACCCCGAAGCTCAACATACAAGTATATTTTCATCAGAAGGGTGAGAAGCTCAGATAATTAGAAGAAGCTCAGAGTAGAACAACTTATTGAAAAGAGCCAGTTGGGGTGATTTGGGATTCTGATCACAATGCCTGTGGATGCCTCCCCAACTGGACCTCGGGGAAAACCATTACCCAATGCAGGGACTATTATATTCAATCTAGCTTGGGAACATCTGGGAATCCCCCAGGAAGAGCTGCAGTGCATGGCTGAGGAAAAGGATGCCTGGGCTATCTTGCTTGTCTTATCTTGCTGACCCAGACAAATAATTTCATATTTACATTTCATTTTACCACTGTTCAAGCCAAGCAGAAAATTAATAAGCATTTAGTGACACCATTTTACTTTCAAGTGTGAACGGAAGCGAGCAAACTGAAGTGCAGGTTGAAGTAGCTCTTGATATATCCAGAGCAAGAGAACAATGATTGGAGGACAAGTTTGAAGACATCTTACTTGGTTCACTAGGTACAAAAATATGCAACAATGAACGTGGAGCAGAGACAAACCGAAGGGAACAAGGTTTGAGTGGAAAATAACAGGAAAAGAAAGACAGACATTAAAATAGGATTCAAGTTATTTTATACAATTCACTTTTCATCATTTGAAAGGTCAGCTAGGTCACTGGAGAGGTAGCACAAAAAAAGGAAGGAATAAAAGTGAGAAAGTACGAAAGAGGCAGACAAAAAGATTTGGAGAAAGATAAAGAAAAGTGGAAGGACAAAAAAGAGTAAAAGAGTAAGTCATTTAACTACAGAGCAACACAGAGGACAGTGAAAACAGAAAATGAATCATTTTAATTCTGTGGCCTTGAAGCAAGGACACCAACGACAGACAAGAACGGATGAAGGGAGCACATGGAAATTGACAAACAGAAGAAGAGATGGAGGGAGGAGAGGAGACAGAGGAAATTGAGGAAGGGCAGACCGGAGAGGGGCGCAAGGTGTGTGGTGAGATGAAACAAAAGGAGGAAAGGGAAGAGAAAAGGAGGACAAAGGTTTTGCTTCTTATAGGTGTAAATCACATTCTACTTTACTTTTACTTTACTAGCCACAGTAGTGTTTGGAACCTCCAACTTGCACAGTTGCTCAATTGTATGCACTGAGCCTATCATCACACTTTTGAGTTATTTGGTTTTTTTTTAAGACTGAGCATTCAGGTCCCTGTGGCTAGGTTAATTAAATGTTGTGCGCTGGTTATGCCAGCAGAGGATAGGTCATGCTAGGGTAAACTTAATTACTGATTATTAGTAGTCAATATTCTATATAAAAATATATTTTGTAATTTTTACAGTGATAAATACATACTTTTGTATCATTATCACTGACTAAAGAGCAATTTCAGTGAAAAGCACATTCATTGATTTTTTAGCTGCACTCATACTCACATACATGCTTGTTGGCATACTAATACATATGACAATCAATACACAGTTTTAACGGATAAATTCACTTATCCAAATTTCTGGCCATTCCCTGCATGTGCTAAAATGGCCAATAACTGTGATATATTTAATTATAATTTTATTTGAATTCCTAAAATTGATGCCCCCAATTGCAGGTTACTTGACATAAGCAGAACACTTTTCTTTTCTCTTTTCCAACCTTTTCTTATTTCTCTTTTCTTATAAAATCTATTTCATTCTGCAAAGTTCTAATTTGCTCAATATCAGTATTAATTCGAGAGCTTGTTATGTTTATTTTTTAAATTACTTTAAAAATAGTGTATGTTAGTTATCAATGTAAAGTAATTCAGTAGCAGTAAAGTATTGTCAATAGTATACATGTGGAATTTTTTTAGCTAAATATATACTATACTATATAATATAGTTGCCAGTTTATTGTGAACGCCTGACTAAAAGTAATGCAGAAAGGTGTTTCTATTATTTAACCTAATCTCAAAACAGAATAAAACAGAAACACCTGTCCGGGTAACAACACCTCTCAGTTTAAACTAGAATTACCACCCTGGTTGTGTGCCTCTCCCAACCAGTCAAGTTGCAGTTTTCATCCATGTCCGTCCAGACTCATACTGTACAATATATGTAGCGAACACCTGGAAGCAATTCAATAAAAAGGTATAAAGTGTACTTTTTGGCTAATATTGATGCATATGTATGATTCCGCATTCAGCATCACAATTAGCTAGGCTAATCTTGAATGACATGAAAAGACAAAGGCCATACTGAGCTACTTATTGTTTACAAATTGTATTGTCTCCGTCAGCATAAGTCTGAGAAATTTAGAATTGCCCAATTCATCCTTAAATTATGACTAAAACCTATTTTGAAGTCACAATGACCTTTGAGTCAAAGTTTCAATTACAATTCAGTGTCCGACCAATTATGAAGATTAGTCCAACCAACTGTGGTGAATAATGGCCAGAAAAGTGTTTTTCCACTTCACTAAAAACACGTCATGTCAAACATGTCAAGGCAATTTTGAGGTTACAGCGACCTTTAAGTCAAAAGTGTCACCAATTTGGTCACCCGGTTAACTCAGTCGGTAGAGCTGGCAACACATGTACGGAGTTGCTGCAGCGGCCCGGGTTCAAATCCGACCTGCGGCCCTTTGCTGCGTGTCATCCCTTCTCTCTCTACCCACCTTTCCTGTCTATCAACAGCTGTCACTATCCAATAAAAAAAAAAGTGTCACCAATTTATTGTCCGACAAACTGTTACACTGTCACAGAGACCTTGACCTTCGATCACCAAAATCTCAACATTTCATCATCGAGTCAAAGTGGACGTTTACGCCAAATCTGAAGAAATTTCCTCCCGATATTCCTGAGATATTGTAAGAATGGGACACACATATGGGATTATCCATTTGTCTCATAAACCCCCCGCCCGAGTTGGAAAGTATAAGTCTTGCAGCTATCTCGCGACATTTCACCGAGACACACCCCCTTTTGGTCGTAATATCAGCCATCCAGCTCGGGGCTCCTCAGAGTACATCGAGCTAAACGAGGGTGAACGTACGACTCGCAAAGCAAAGATGGCTGTGCCCATATTTCATGGTGTTGAGATGTATTTTCTTTGTATTTGTACTACGTTGGTCGTTTTAATGTCGATTTTAAATGCTCTTACACACT